CCCAGGCTGGAGTGCAATGGCGCAATCTCGGCTCACCGCAACCTCCGCCTCCTGGGTTCAGGCAATTCTCCTGCCTCAGCCTCCTGAGTAGCTGGGATTACAGGCACACGCCACCATGCCCAGCTAATTTTTTGTATTTTTAGTAGAGACAGGGTTTCACCATGTTGACCAGGATGGTCTCGATCTCTTGACCTCGTGATCCACCCGCCTCTGCCTCCCAAAGTGCTGGGATTACAGGCTTGAGCCACCGCGCCCGGCCCTGTTTTATAATCTTTATCTTAAACTTCTATTTCCCATCAGTAAATAGAAGTTTACATGTCTTTGTCGATTTATGCATATGCGTGGCTGGATTTGTCTACTCACCTAATATTGAACATTTAGCTTATTTTCGGATTTTCTCTGTTATATATAGTGCTAAGTGAGCATCCTGGCATATATAACATCCTTGTATATACATCTTTGTACCCTTATCTAATTATTTCCTTAGAATATATTCCTAGAAACTTAATTGTGGGAACAAAGGCCATGAACATTTTCAAGTGTTTATTTTATTTTTATTTATTTTGATACAGAGTTTCGCTCTGTTGCCCAGACTGGAGTGCAGTGGTGAAATTACCACTCACTGCACCTTGACCTTCTACTCAAGCGATCCACCTCCCTCAGTCTCCCGAGTATCTGGGACTTAAGGACTACAGGCACACACCGCCATGCCCAGCTGATTTTTTTTATTTGTAGCACAGATGAGGTTTCACTATGTTGCCTAGGCTGACATTTATTTATTTTTTAAGAGACAGGGTCTCACTCTGTCATCCAGGCTGGAATGCAGTGGCACGATCATAGCTCACTGCAGCCTTAAGTAGTCTTTCTGCCTCAGCCTCTTGAACAGCTGGGGCTACAGGCAAGGGCCACCACTCTCAGCTAATTTATTTTTTATTTTTTATTTTTTGTAGATATGGAGGTCTTACTGTGTTGCCTAGGCTGGTCTTGAACTCCTAACCTCAAGCAGTCTTCCCACCTCAGCCACCCAAAGTGCTAGGTAGGATTACAGGCGTGAGCCACAGTCCCCAGCCAAGTGTTAAAAATGCTTACTGTCAAACTCTTCATTAGAAAAGTTGAACCAGCTTATACTGCCAGGCCAGTTTTCTGTTGATACACTGGCACTGAATATTATAATTCAGTTAACTTTTGTCAGTCCGTTGGACTAACAGTGGTATGCTCTTGGCCATTTCTCTTTTGGGTTAACAGTGCACTATTAATTTGTTATTGATAAGTTATTCTATCTAACAAGCCCGTCTATGGCTTTGCGACTTTGTAGTAAGCATAGTCGTATTCTTTTTTTTTTTTTTTTTTTTTTTTTTTAAAGACAGAGTCTCCGTCTTTTGCCTAGGCTGGAGTGGTGCAGTGGCGTGATCTTGGCTCACTGCAACCTCCACCTCGTGGACTCAAGCAACTCTTCTGCCTCAGCCTCCCTAGTAGCTGGAACTACAGAAGTGTGCCACCACATCCGGCTAATTTTTTGTATTTTTAGTAGAGACAGGGTTTCACCGTGTTAGCCAGGCTGGTCTCGATCTCCTGACCTCATGATCCACCCACCTCAGCCTCCCAAAGTGCTGGGATTACAGGCATGACCCACTGCGCCCGACCAGCATAGTTGTATTTCTTTTACATGCTTAAGAGAAAGAGATCTGAGCTGTTTTTGAACCCTTCTAGACTCTCTTAAAAAAAAAAAAAAAATAGATTAGGTTTTGCTATGTTGCCAAGACTAGCCTCAAACTCCTAGGCCCAAGCAATCCTCCCAAGCTGCTGGGACTACAGGCATGTGCCGCCACGCACAACATAGACTTTTATTGTACCATCAAAAGGCAATTTTCTTTTCAAATTTCTGGGTTAATAGTTTTAGAAAAATCCTACTTGGTAGCCACCAGAAATGGCATCCTAGTGAGTGATTCAAATGTGAGATGGAAGAAAAGGTTAGAATTGGAACCAATGTGCCCTCTTATCTCAAATGTATTTTATCTTCATTTTGTTTCATAGTTTATTAGTATGAAGATGCTTTGTATGTCAGCTCATCATTTTCAACTCTAGTTCCAGAAAAATCAAGGGCATGATTTCTGAAATTACACTTAGCTTAATTAAAAGTTAGAAACACTATCCACCTTCTTCAGTGTTTTTGACTGAGTCTTTTTCATTTATAAGTGACAGGAGGTATTACTATAACATTATTTTCTAGAATATCAAATTTTGAGCCTAATAATAGCATGGTAAATTTTGTATATTTGTTCTTGTAATGAAACTTAGTATTCCCTTGTGTCTCACTTCTTTTTAATATGTAGAGTCATAACCAAACAGTAAAGTGAGGAGATTATTAGGTTAGATCTAAAGTATCAGTCTGGTCACCAGTGCCCAAGTCTCTGCCCCTATGGCAATATTGGTTACTTCATATTTTCCTGCAGCAAATGTAAAATTTGTTATAGTGAGATTTTTACCTGTACACCTCTCCTCTTAACTTTAATGTTGCTACCTCAAGGAAGATATTATAATGAATGAAGATTCCATGATGAAAGCTTTGCAGAGTTTATTACAGTAATTTAGTACTTTATTAGAATCTTTAGTTTTTTTAGGAGCACAGCACTGAATGTCTGTTTCCCTGTTGGACCTTTTGAAAACTGGTTTTCCATTGATTCAGTGTAACTGTTACAGGAATATATCATTTTTAAAACATTTTTATACAGCTTGGCTGAAAATTGAACCTGGGCCTCCTTCGTGGCCTACCATTGAAGAAATAGCATTTTTTGCCTATTTAGAAATACAATGTTAAATGTGCTTTCTATTTTCTGTGCTGCCTACTGTTTGTTTATATTTGTGGAATCTGGTTTCTTTTGGACAAAACCGAAAATCAAAAACACTCAGACATTTGAAATACCTAATTCAGGAATAATCTCCCAAACAGAAACACAACTACCTGCGTACTTTTTGACAAAGGAGCTAAGTAGCATTAAAAAATTATTTTAAACCCAATTCTGGTTTTTAACAGAATAAAATCCTGTTCTTCACATTAGTCTTTCACAAGTAACCTACTAAAAGTAGGGTTTATTTGAGGGAAGCGTTTCTTTCTTATCTCATAATAAAAACAGCTGTGCCTAACTGCTGGTTTCCTACCTGAAAGCACATGCTTCAGTCTTAAGATTTTTAAGATTTTGGAATCTGAAGAGTGTAAACATTTCTTCTAATCACAATGTGACACAGACGAATCAAGCCAATGCTACCTTTATTTATGCCTACTAACTGGAACTTTTCTTGTTCTTCCTGTTTTGGAAATCAGATACATTTTGTATGTATTAGTAACTTGGAATCCTGCATTAGTTATCCTTGCCCTCTCAAAGCACATTTTGAAATTACAAAGGTGTACAGTTTCTCCATGCTGCACCAAAATTTATGTTTTCTAAGGCTTTGTAAAATTGTAGAATGTTCTGTTAATTTTTTAAATTTCTCTCAAGTCAGTAACTCACACTGTTTTGAGAAGTATGAATAAAGTAATAAAATATTGTTAGTACAACTATTTTAGTACAAAAATAGATTATAGAATCTCAACATTTTTATCCAAAATTTTATTTGTGATGATTGACAAATCAGGGGACACTTAAGTCCATACCTGGTTTCAGTAATCAAAAATACATTTACGATCCAGAAACTTAAGGTAGCAAAAGTATACACCACTACAACATATTGATAACATCCTTTGGTATAGAAAAATTATATTCCCAGAGTGAGTTTCTTCTTTAAAACTGTTAATGAGTCCAAGGTGGGAGGATCACTTGGAACCAGGAGTTTGAGACCAGCCTGGGCAACATGGCAAGACCATGTCTCTACAAAAAATTAACTGGATGTGGTGGTACACACCTGTAGCCTCAGCTCCTTGTAGGCTGAGGCAGGAGGATCCCTTGAGCCTAGGAAGTTGTAGTGGCAGTGAGCTATGATCATGCTTCTATACTCCAGTCTGGGCCACAAAGTGAGACCCTGTCTCTTAAAAAAAAAAGAAATTAGTTGGACGTGGTGGCACAGGTCTGTAGTTTTAGCTATTTAGGAGGCTGAGGCACGAGGATCATTTGAGCCCAGAAGTTAGAGATTACAGTGAGCTTTGATTGTGCCACTGCACTCCAACCTGAGTGACAGAATAACCCTGTCTCTGGGGAAAAAAAAAAAAATTGATTATTTACTTCAAAATATGTTTAAAACTGATTCCTGTTCCATATTCCTAATGAACAGAATAGACTTTATATAAAACAAACCTTAGAACAAAATTTTAATGGAAGTATACATATTTTCCAGCTCTTCTGTCTTCTCTAATGTATTTATTACATAAAATGAAATTACTTTTTTCCACAATCTTTGTATCACTTCAGTTCTCCAATAAATCTGGGAATTCTGGTAGTATGAAATATTTAACTTTCTTTGCTTATTTACATAAAATATATAAGGACAATTTGTGATAAGTAAGAGTTGCATTTAAATATCAGTAAAAGAAATTAAAATTTTTTAGAGGATATTGTTAGAAATTTAAAAAGAATGAACTAAAAGGTGGCTATGTGTAAATGCTTGCATATGTGAATATTAACATTGTCCCTAAAAGAATTTAAAACAATGAAACTGGAATCAAATAAGTAGAGGTTTGATTATTTTTTAATTGGCTTATATTCCATGATAAAAGAGGTTTATCAGTGACATAAGGAAGGTTTTTTCACCTTTTTTTTATTGAAATCTTTGACATATACATATATATCTTTGTTCATCTTTGTGTATCTTCGCTCATATGAGAGCAGAGATATGAGCAAAGATACACTCTATACATATGTCTTTGTTTATATCGAACCTTTCTGATGTCTCTACATAGTCTTAAACATAGGAACATTCAACTGGATGATCTCTTTGCCCCCTTTATCCTTACTCTTCCATGATTTTATACTTTAATACATCATCTGTTTTATGATATAGAATGGAATATTTCTTTTTTCCAGAAAATGCTTATTTTGGTCACTTGATGATACACATTAGGCCAATATGTATTACTTAAGTGACCCATCTTCTTCAATTCATTTCTCTCTCCTGTCACTAACCTGGGTATCTGGAATGTGGACTAAACTCTTCAAACACTATGTAAAACCTACTAAACTTTGTATATTTGGTTGCTCAGCTTACTAAGAGCACCATTTCTGAACTGAAGTTAACTGAATACCCTTCTGTTTTAGAGATTATGACATACCTATTGGATTCTCATGCCTTTTTCCTCCCCTCACAAGGTTGAAGAGATGGTGCAGAACCACATGACTTATTCATTACAGGATGTAGGCGGAGATGCCAATTGGCAGTTGGTTGTAGAAGAAGGAGAAATGAAGGTAATTCCCCCTGAAATGTTATAGATTGCCAGTTGCAGCTGTTTCAGTCATATTATCATTACTATTGATATGAATAACAATAGCACTTTCAACTTAACTTCAAAACAAATTGTTACATGTGATCAAAGAAGCACCAGATATTGAGCAATAAAATGTCTTTGCTTCCCTGGTTTTGCCTTTACTAAAATTTATTTAAGATTATAATGTAAATATATGATTAAAACTTTTCTGTTTTGATTAGGCCATGAAGAAAATAAAATTTGGAGAATTAGCTATGAACAGGTCACAATTAGCTGATGGTCCTCTATTTGGATATTTTCGTTTAGTTTTTTTAGCATACTGAATGTTGTGCCCAGATGACACTACGTTTCTCCCCCTTTTTGCTCCATACCTTCCTTCTTGTCCCTTCTCTTACTGCACCTTTATTTGATGTTTGGACATTGGTCAGTTAGTCTTATTTATATCCCTAAACACAGAGACGGAAAATAAGAGCACAGAATGAGAGATACAGAGATGGTTTGAAAAGCAAAAGCAACATTGAATTTTGGATTACCTAATGCCCAAGGAACTATGCTAAATAAAGATACAAAGATAATAAGACACTTTCCAAGCTAAAGCTTTAGTTGAGGAAAAATAATATTGATGTTTAAAAGATACTATTGGCCAGACTGACTGGGTCATATCTGTAATCCCAGCAGATATAAGGACATGGCAGGTGAATCATTTGAGCTTAGGAGTTCAAGAGAAACCTAGGCAACATGGTAAAACCCCATCTCTACAACAAAATACAAAAATTAGCTGGGTGCAGTGCCACACACCATTAGTCCCAACTACTCAGGAGACTGAGGCAGAAGATCCCTTGAGCCAGGGAGGCCAAGGCTGCAGTGAGCCACATTTGTGCCACTGCACTTTAGCCTGAGTGACAAAGTGAAACTCTATCTCGAAACACACACACACACACACACACACACACACTCACTCACTCACTCTCTCTCTCTCTCTCTCTCTATATATATATATATATATTACTTGGCTCCATCTGATAATGTACTGAGTGCAGAGTGCAGAAGAGTGGTGGAGAAAGAAAGGAAAGATCTCTGTGATTTGAAACAATTAGGTTGTTTTACAATGCAGAGAAGCATTTGAACTACATCTAAAAATAGAAACAAAGTTGTGACTAGGTGAGGTGAAGGCATTTTAGGCAAAAATAATGTGAGCAAAAACTTAAAAGCAGACATTTTAGTCGAGATTTTTATATAATATGTATTGACCAGAATTATTCTAGCAAATGAGATATAATATAGATACTGGGATTTCCTCTCCTCTCGAATAAGGAACAAATTAAGACATAAGATAAAAGAGACAGATTAATGAGATACCAGAATGTTAGCTATAATCCTGAGAAGCTGATTGTAGAAAATAGTTTGAGATCAGCTGCCACAGGATATTGTCCCAGAATTAAACATGTTTCTGGCATTGCTGGATAATCCCAGACCTTCACTACAGAAGCAGGTCAGGATGTGTGCTCTTTGCTGAAGAAAGGACTGAGCCAGACCTGCCTTATTTCCTCTTCCGTAGTCATCATTCAGTCACTGCAGAGTCCCCTCCCTCTGGGAAGGAGGAAGTGAAGCACCAAAGGAAAGCCAGGAGTGATGGTCTAGATGAAGTCCCTCCACCTGGAATGAGGAGTAGAAAATAAGTATTCCTACAGCCCACAGCATTAGAGAGAAATTGGGGCTAGATTATGGGGAGCATAAAGATACTCGCTAAAGAGAATAGTCTTTGCCTGTAACAGTAGATAAGCCACTGTATGAGAAGTATCCTTTTTTTTTTTTTTTTTTTTTGAGTCCGAGTTTTGAGCCACTACACCTGGTCTGAAAAGTATTATTTTAAGATCAACCTAATAGGGAAGAAACTGGAGAACAAGAAGACTACTTAAAAGAGTCGGGCACAAAGTAATGAAAGCCTACCTAGAACAATAGAAAAGTCCAAGTGTTGGATGTCTTAGAGAAGATTAGTAGGCCGGGCGTAGCGACTCATGCCTGTAATCCCAACACTTTGGGAGGCCAAGGCAGGTGGATCACCTTCGGTCAGGAGTTCAAGACCAACCTGGCCAACATGGTGAAACCCTGTCTCTACTAAAAATACCAAAAATTAGCCAGGCTTAGTGGTGGGCACCTGTAATCCCAGCTAGTCAGGAGGCTGAGACAGGACAATTGCTTGAACCCAGGAGGAAGAGGTTGCAGTGAACCAAGATTGTGCCATTGCACTCCAACCTGGGCAACAAGGGCAAAACTCTGTCTCAAAAAAAAAAAAAAAAAATTAATAAGAAGCTTACTAGCTGTGTGAATTATAAAGGGAGGAATCAGAAGTCTATAGTTTTTAATTTGGGTAGCTGGGAAAACGGTGGTCCCAATAATGAGTGATAAATATGGCTGGTCCCAGTGCCTCATGCCTGTAATCCCAGCACTTTGGGTGGCCAAGGCGGGTGGATCACGAGGTCAGGGAGTTCAAGGCCAGCATGGTGAAACCCTTTCTCTACTAAAAATACAAAACTTAGGTGGGCATGTTGGTGCACCCCTGTAATTCCAGCTACTCTGGAGGCTGAGGCAGGAGAATTGCTTGAACCCTGGAGGCGGAGGTCACAGTGAGCCAAGATGGTGCCACTGCCCTCCAGCCTGGGCAGCAGAGTGAGACTGCATCTCAATAAATAAGCAAGTAAATAAATAAAGTAGTCTGTTGAGAGATACTATAAGAGAAACTATGTGAAATGCCTAAGAGTGTCTAGCCCCATAGGTCCTTCATAAATTGATAGGTGATTCTCCCCCATTATGACACGTTTCTTCATTTCTCAATAGTATTTATCACATAATTATCTAAAGTAGCAAACTCTCCATAATGTTAAAATAATTAATTTTACTTAGCATTTAAGTATATAACCTCAGTATTTAAAGCAAGATAGATCTATATTTATATTTTTGCCCTCTTAGCTTTCATGCATTGATTTAACAAATAATTGAGTGCCTACTGTGTTTCAGATACTGTTCTAGATGTTTGGGATATTGCATTGAACAAAACAGCCTTAATTCAGTATCTTTAAGGAGAATATATTCTAACCAGGTTTATTTGGCTTTCTTAGCCATGTTAAACAGTCTTTGAGAATGTTTGGTAAATAATAGCTAATTCAAATTGGTATGTTTATTTTTAAACAACTCAAAATAAGTCATTTATCACAGATGCATGTTTTTATATTAATTTTACCTTGGATTTGTAATTTAAGTATTTTTTTATTGTCTGTTTGAAATTTTTAGTTTTCTTTTAGCAGAATATGTTCCATAAATAAATTTTCATAAAAATGTAAAGAGCAGCCAAATTTACAAGCATGCCTTCAAGTTTATGCTTTTAAGGGATTGATTTTAATTTTCAAACAGTTTTAAAATTATGTTCTCTTTAGGTATATAGAAGAGAAGTAGAAGAAAATGGGATTGTACTGGATCCTTTAAAAGCTACCCATGCAGTTAAAGGTGTCACAGGACATGAGGTCTGCAATTACTTCTGGAATGTTGACGTTCGCAATGACTGGGAAAGTAAGCTGTCATTATTAATGTATCTTAATCTAATTATTATTTTGTATTTAATATCAAATCCAGCCTAGTTTTCTGTGTCTCGTACATAGTTTACAAAGTCAACATAGAAAATATTTGAAAAATCATATATAGGGCTAACAGTACATTTATATAGAGCTTCTTAGTGTACAAAATGCTTCCCAGTATGTAATTTGATCCAATAACCTCAGTAATCCTACAGTGATAGGTACTTATTATTGCTTATTTTACATGCAAATAAAGTAAAATTCAAATAGGCAAAGTGACTTGTCAAAGGCAACAGGGCTATTTGGTGGAAAAGCCAAGACTGAAATTGAAGATTTCTGTTTCATCTACTCTTTCCTAAACTATTTCAATGGTAAATCCTAGGTAAATCCTTTTATGTTTACTCTATATATATATTTTTTTTTCTGATACAGAGTTTCGCTCTCGTCACCCAGGCTGGAGTGCCATGGCGCACTATCAGTTCACTGCAACCTTTACCTCCCCATTGAAGCAATTCTCCTGTCTCAGCCTCCTGAGCAGCTGGGATTACAGGCGCGCACCATCACGCCCAGCTAATTTTTGTATTTGTAGTGAGACAGGTTTTGCCCTGTTGGCCAGGCTGGTCTTGAACTCCTGACATCAGGTGATCCACTGGCCCCGGCTTCCCAAAGTGCTGAAGTGTCATGACAGACGTGAACCACTGCACCCAGCCTAAAATTATTCTTAGTGTATATTCCCCTTAGACACAAAATTTTCTAAGTATAGATAGTTCTCAACATCATAAGACATTTATTATTGGAGTTTGACGTCACATTTTCACAGAAATAGTCACCTAAGGTTAGGTATAACAATTTATTTAATAATGAATCAGGGAAAAGAGAAGGGTTTTAGTGTTAGGGAATTATTTGAGCCTGAACGATGCAGTAGTGATTAGAATTGCTATCTTGCTATAGAAGTAGATACTGGGCCAAAGAAAATGAGGCTTCCTGGTGATCAGATCTCACATCCCTCATCTGTAGCTATGATACTAAGTATTAGCAACCTTTCATTTTGGATATAGCCTAGATAGGGCAGAATCCTGTTCAGTTTACCATACTGTCCATCCATACTTGACTTTCAACATAAGTGAATGGATCACATTCTAGGAAAAGATAGTATATCTTTTTGGCTACTAATATTATTCTCTTCATTTCAGCAACTATAGAAAACTTTCATGTGGTGGAAACATTAGCTGATAATGCAATCATCATTTATCAAACACACAAGGTAAAGATCTCTTTATTCATCCTAAAAGGATTTCAGTGTAGTTCAAACTCAGACATAAAAATTATCTAAAGCAAAATTGGGCAGAAAATTAAAAGCCACAAAAATCCAAAGACTTTATTAATAATTCATGAATGTCATGTATTTAAAAGGTGTATCAACCTGTTGAGAACAGAAATGTGTGCAGGCAAGAATCTGAGAGATACAATCTAGAAACGGAGTGCTTGATAAAGATCAACAGTTCGTTCTCTTTATGCACTTTTCATTTTTAAAGAGACAGGGACTTGCTATGCTTCCCAGGTTAGTCTCAAACTCCTGAGTTCAAGTGATCCTCCTGCCTCAGCCTCCCAAGTAATTGGAACTACGTACAGGTGTATGCCACACTCTCAGCTTTCTTTATACAAATTTTAAGGCTAGAAAAGAGCCTTCTGAAATGCTGAAATCCATTTAAACATTTCTGGTATCCAGTCTATAAGAGGTAAGTGATAGTTACCAAATAGGAAAGTGAATTATAGCTTTCTGTGACAACAACAATAAGGGTAAAGGCAAGTATAGTATTAGCCTATGTTAAGACTAATAGATATAAAAGTAGATGGATTATCTGAAAGCAAAAATTGTAGAACATGACTTGAGAGGTTAGTCATACACCAGAGCACATAGAAACATGATTTAAATTAGTTCCGTTTCACCTTATTTCTTCTGCTGTTCTTGATATTTAAAATTATAGGATTAATGTTTCTCTTGCCTTTTTCTGCTCTTTCTCATCTGAAAACTGCACAGTAATATAATATATTGTGTATAGCATAATAAAAGGCATTAAAATTTTGGAGATATCCACCAAAAACAATATTAAACATTATAAAAGAAATATAATGACTTAATAAGTACGTTGTTTTTCCAATTCAGTGAGTGCTTTATTTTTCTTTTTTTAAATAATTTGTTAATTGAATTGAATATATGAAAACATTATAGGTTTGTTACAAATTTCTTAAGCTCAGTTTTGTTATTTGAGACATCTTATATCTAATAATTATGAGCCATACTTCATTTTACACAGTAGCTGCTCAGAAATGCATAACAATTAAGATTCTGTTTCAGCATACAAATTTTGAAGTCTAATTTGAAATTTTAAATTTAGTAAATGTCAGAATATCAGTTAATCACCCTATAATTTGGAATGAAGATAAATGACCAATAATTGAGAATCAAAAGAACCTTATTATCTGAAAATAATCCATTATGGAAAACTATCTGCTGAAGGTATTCTGCTAGATGAATAGTAGATGGAGGGAGCATCAGGATTGAAAAATGAAAGTAAAAGTTATTAAAATCTTATATGTAACAAAATTTGTTACAGTTATTATTTGTCAATTCTTGGAACAAACAAATTGTCCTAGAATAATTTTTTTCAGGAAAATCACGTTACATTCACAATGTATGTAACCATACCACTAACGCTGTCTCTGAAATTTATCATCACCCCAAACAGAAACTCCGCACTCATTAAGCAACACTCTGCATTCCACTCTCCTCAGACTCCATGATAATGTTCTGCTTAGACTCATAGTCTATAGTGTTAGTTACACTACCGTCTTTTTCCGTTTAAATTTGACTTCTTTTACAATATGGTCTTAAAAGAGGGCTGCTAGTCTTCTGATATTTAAGTCATTCTCATTCTTTAAATTTCTGTCTTATCCTGTCGATTTGTATTTATTAGATCTAAATTTGCCAAATCTTCATATTACCATCACCACACAATTTACCCAACACCATCTTTGTCAACTGCTTGAACTTTTGCATCTTTAAAAAATGAATTATTTCATTTTGCAAATGATTTGTATTGTATACTATTTATTACACTCAGTAATCAGGAATGACATAATAAGGACTGCATAATAAGAACTAGTTCAGGTATGTATATCAGATAACCAAAATAAAAGTAACTTAAACAGGATAAAAGTTTGTTTTTTTCTCATTTAAATTAGGTAGTCCCAGTTATTGGAGACCTAGGCTCCATGTCATTTCCATAGTGTATGTGTCTCCTTACATACTTTAATATTGAAATATTCAATCTAAGTGATTTAAAATTCTTTCTGATGTGATTTGATCCTTTTTTTTCTTTAAGTCTTTGAATCTAAGTGGAACGTAATCATGGAGTATGAGGAGAGGGGAATGGAGAGTTGTCGCTTAATGGATGCAGAGTTTCTCTTTGGGATGATGATAAATTTTAGAGATAGCAGTATGGTTATATAACATTGTAAATGTAATTAATGTCTCTGAGTTGTACACTAAAAATCAGTTATGATGGCAAATTATATGTGTATATATTTTACTACAATTCAGAAAAATAGAACATTAGTCCTTTGATTTTGTTATTCTGCAAAGCTATTAACTCTGTTCATAATTACTCATTTGGTAGATATCCTCAGATGGTTTCCATTTAAAATTTGAGTTCAATTAAGACTTTTTTGGCTTTACATTTGTTTCTCTTGTTAGTTCCATGTTAGATCTGTTTTTCAGAAGATTTTTACTTCTCCACAGAGGGTGTGGCCTGCTTCCCAGCGAGACGTATTATATCTTTCTGCCATTCGAAAGATATCAGCCTTGACTGAAAATGACCCTGAAACTTGGATAGTTTGTAACTTTTCTGTGGATCATGACAGTGCTCCTGTAAGTACAGTGTATATAAATGTGTATAAGTAAACAATATAAAGCTAAATACACAATGGAGGACATACAGGATAAACACATAACCCACACACAATACTTGATTTGATAGCACTTCTTAGATTTTGTTTTATGTTGGAGTGACTGCCAGGAACAGTATGGGCCATGTGTTGTCTGAGGACAACAGTCATGGCTATGAACATTCCACCAGGGCCATTTTCCTTTACTTCTAAGATTTGGTGAAACAGCCAAAAGAATAGTGTATGTCAGCTGCTTTCCACAGTTGTCTCTTAAGCCATTATCAACTACTAGCCAAACCTCTGTGGTTTACCACAATTTAGCTCCATTTACTACTTAAGAGGAAGGAAGCCTGAGCAACATGGTGAGACCCCATCTTTATTAAAAAAAAAAAAAAAAAAGTTTTTTAAATTAGCCAGGCCTGTTGATACACACCTGTGGTCCCAGCTACTCTGGAGGTTGAGGTGAGAGGATTGCTTGATCCCAGGAGTTTGAGGCTGCAGTGAACTATGATGGTGCCGCTGCACTCCAGAGTGGGGAACAGAGCAAGACCCTGTCCCCGAAAAAAGTGGATGGGGAGGAATCCTGGTGTCATATCAACTTGGTGCTTATAAGATTTCACTGGAGGTATTTTTAAGAGTTACAATTTTGGTTAATCTAATATACTGTTAGACCAGCAGAGATTACAAAATGCTAGGTATCTACTGATGCTTTGGTTTTTGTTTTGGCAGCTAAACAACCGATGTGTCCGTGCCAAAATAAATGTTGCTATGATTTGTCAAACTTTGGTAAGCCCACCAGAGGGAAACCAGGAGATTAGCAGGGACAACATTCTATGCAAGATTACATATGTAGCTAATGGTATGTATTTTACTGTTCTTTTGTATGGTTGATAATGTGGCTGTTCTTGATCGTGACCTATATGAAAACAATTTGGACAAATGCCCTTTTAGTTCTTATCCATTAGAATACTAATTTTTAATTTGGAGAAAGGTCTATCAGAATTACTAGAAAATCTTTAAAAATACAGATGTCTGAATTTCACCCTGAAACTACTATCATATGATTATTTCTGAAGCTGGAGCTAAATAGGTAAATCTTAAAACTTCATCCCTAGGTCACTGTCATATAGCAGTCTTCTTTTTTTTTTTTTTAATTGAGTTGGAGTCTCACTCTGTCACCCAGGCTGCAGTACAGTGGTGCAATCTTGGCTCACTGCAACCTCTGCCTCCCGGGTTCAAACCATTCTCTGTCTCAGCCTCCTGAGTAGCTGGGACTACAGGCACCTGCCACCACGCCTGGCTAATTTTTTTGTATTTTTAGTAGACATAGGGTTTTGCCATCTTGGCCAGGCTGGTCTTAAACTCCTGACCTCACGATCCACCCACCTCAGCCTCCCAAAGTGCTGGGATTACAGGCATGAGCCACTGCACCCAGCTTAGTCTTCATATTTAAGCATAATTTTCTTAGCTATTTGCCTAATAGAATGTATTTATAGTTAGGAATATAAGCTCCAGGGGGTAAGGAAATTAACAGTTCTTTTACTGATTGTCAAGCTTTTTAGCTTTCTGAATCAGTGCCCCCCCACCCAGCCCTTATTAGTTGTTAGTTACATATTTATTTCTCTTTGGCATTCATTGTCAGGCTTTTTGTTTTCTGAATCAGTGCTTTCCTAGTCCTTCTTAGTTACTAGTTACATATTTATTTCACTTTGGGTAGCCCTTTTCATTGCTTGCTTTGGGTCTTCTTCACCCACTTTGCACCAACCTTTCTCATCGAAAGTCAAGCCTTCTTTATATAGGGTCATAACTGCTAGTATGTTTAAAGAAACAGTTGTACCTGAGTAAGTTACTATTTAATTATAATACAGATTTATGAATAAATCTGCCCTAAATGACCTTAAGTGGTGCTCTACTAACTTTTGCAGGTAATTTCGGGAACCAAGAACATTTTAGAAAGGTTATAAACGCTTTCTTATTTGCTTTCTGATTATGTCTGATGGATAGTGTTAAGGAACGAAGGGTTGGGACTTTAAAATATGCTAATTGGTCCGGCCAGGCTTGGTGGCTCACGCCTATAATCCCAGCACTTTGGGAGGCCGAGGCAGACGGATCACAAGGTCAGGAGATCAATACCAGACCATCGTGGCTAACATGGTGAAACCCCGTTGCTACAAAAATTAGCTGGGCATGGCAGCACACATCTATAGTCCAGCTACTTGGGAGGCTGAGGCAGGAGAATCGCTTGAACCCAGGAGGCGGAGGTTGCAGTGAGCCAGGACCGCGCCACTGCATTCCAGCCTGGCAACAGAGTGAGACTCCGTCTAAAAACAAAAACAAAAAAAGGTGCTAACTGGTCCAATGTGAGGAATATTTTAAAAGCAAGGGAACAAATTTAAGTGTTTCACATGTGTTTGGAGAATTGTATCTTAATACATTTGATTTTCCTTTTATGTTGCAGTGAACCCTGGAGGATGGGCACCAGCCTCAGTGTTAAGGGCAGTGGCAAAGCGAGAGTATCCTAAATTTCTAAAACGTTTTACTTCTTACGTCCAAGAAAAAACTGCAGGAAAGCCTATTTTGTTCTAGTATTAACAGGTACTGGAAGATAGGTTTTACCTCTTTTTTTTTTTTTAACTTTATTTGACTAGTATAACTCTGTTGATACTAAAATTTAGTTTTAAGTAGTTGCTGCGTTTGTTGATCTTCCTCGATAGAGTATTGTTGGTTTTTGTTGTTGTCTTAAACAGGATCTTGCTCTGTTGCCTAAGCTGGAGTGCAGTGGCACCAGCACAACTCCCTGCAACCTCGACCTCTGGCGTCAAGCCATCCTTTCACCTCATCCTTCCCAGTAGCTGGGACCACAGGCATGTGCCACCATGCTCAGCTAATTTTTTTATTTTTTATGGAGATTGAGTCTTGCCAGGCTGGTCTTGAACCTGGCCTCAAACAATCCTCCTGCCTCAGCCTCCCAAAGTGCTGGGATTACAAACATGAGCCACCACGCCTGGTCTTGAGAATTGTAGTTTATAGCCTTTAAAACTTAATTTTTTTATTGTTTACTTTTTCTTCTAATGCTTATGTAAAGAAATTTTCATATTGGCTGGGCCCAGTGGCTCACTCCTGTAATGCCAGCACTTTGGGAGGCTGAGGTGTGTGGATCACAAGGTCAGAAGTTCAAGACCAGCCTGGCCAAGATGGTGAAACCCCATCTGTACTAAAAGGAAATACAAAAATTAGCTAGGCGTGGTGGCAGGAACCTGTAATCCCAGCTACTCAGGTGGCTAAGGCAGAGAATTGCTTGAACCCAACAGGTGGGTCTTTCAGTGAGCCAATATCATGCCACTGCAGTCCAGCCTGAGTGACAGAGCAAGACTCCGTCTAGAAAAACAAAAAAGAAATTTTGATATTATAGAACTGCACAAGTACAAACTCCCTGTATTCTTTTCTTTCCTCGAAACTACTGTTATTTTTGTTGCATATTCTTCCAGATTTTTCTGTGTATGTACTGACATGTTTTTGAGATTACTGTTATAACAAAATACTTGTTTTATAGCCTGCTTTTTCACTTAACAATGTATCTTGACTATCTTTCTTTATAAGATGAGATGTATAAAATATCTCATTCTTTTAACATCTGTTTATGCTTGTTGCAGAATTTATTAACTAGTCCCATGTTAATGTCTCAGTTGGTTCCATGTTTTTGCTCTCAACCAGTACAGCACTAAACACCTTTATGCAAGGAGGTTGAATCTTTTCCTTTCTTTTTTTTTTTTTTTTGAGATGAAGTTTCTCTCTTTTTGCCTGGGCTGGAGTACAGTAGCCCAGTCTGGGCTCACTGCAACCTCTATCTCCTGGATTCGAGTGATTCTCCTACCTCAGCCTCCTGAGTAGCTGGGATTACAGGTGCCTGCCACCACGCCCAGCTAATTTTTGTACTTTTAGTATAAACAGGTTTCACCATGTTGGCCAGGCTGGTCTCAAATGCCTGACCTCAGGTGACCTGCCTGCCTGGGCCTCCCAAAGTGCTGGGATTACAGGCATGAACCATCATGCCCAGCCTGGAATCTTTAACTTTTTAAAATAAGTGATACATTAACATGATTAAAAGGCCAAAATGGCCAGGCACAGTGGCTCACACCTGTAATCCCAACACTTTGGGAGACTGAAGTAGGAGAATGGCTGGCTTCAGGCCAGGAGTTCGAGCCTAGCCTGGGTAGCATAGCAAGATTCCATCTTGTCAAAAAAAAAAAAATTAGGTGTGGTGGCATGCAGCTATACTCTTAGTAACTTGGGAGGCTGAAGCAGAAAGATTGCTTTGTCCAGGAGTTTGAGGCTGCAGTGAGCTGTGATTACACAGCTGCACTCCAGCCTGGACAATAGAGGTAATGTTTCTTTAAAAAAAAAAAAAAGTCAAAAGTATGAAAAAGTTATACAGCAAAATTTACCCCATCCTGCATTCACCATTATATATGCTATTAACTAGTTTCTTCCAGGAAGTTTTTAATGCTTGAGTGAACAAATTCAAGTGTATTTTCTACACACATACACTTTTTGTTGTTGTTAAAGAGGCAGCAGCATACTGTAAATACTGTTCAGCATCTTATATTTGCATTCATTTTATCTTGAAGGTCTCACATATTTGTAAGGAGCTTCCTCATTTTTATGGTTATACAGTATCCTATTGTATAGATGTACATAATTTATTTAATCAGTTCTACACTGGTGAATATTACAGTTTCCAGTTTTTGCCAGAACAGTGTCATATCCGTATGTCATTTTGTACTTGCAAGTTTATATGTGGGAAAAATTAATAGATGTGGTACTACTGGCCCTGCTAGGGGTGTGTACATTTATAATTTAGATATTGCTTTTCATAGAGGTTATATTAATTGACCATCTCAACAGCAATAATGGATTGGAGTGGCTGTTTCTCATAGTTTTTCATATAATCTGTAAAACAAAACTTTACAATTTTCCCAACTCATTAAGTGAAAAATACCCTCTCAGTGTAGTTTTAATTGTATTCCTCTTATGACTGAGTTTAAGCCTGCTTTGGTCCATTGAGAATCCTTTGTATAATACTATTTCTAAGGGCCGGGCGCGGTGGCTCAAGCCTGTAATCCCAGCACTTTGGGAGGCCGAGGCGGGTGGATCACAAGGTCAAGAGATCGAGACCATCCCGGTCAACACGGTGAAACCCCGTCTCTACTAAAACTACAAAAAAATTAGCTGGGCATGGTGGCGTGTGTCTGTAGTCCCAGCTACTCAGGAGGCTGAGGCAGGGGAATTGCCTGAACTCAGGAGGCAGAGGTTGCGGTGAGCCGAGATCGCGCCATTGCACTCCAGCCTGGGTAACAAGAGCGAAACTCCGTCTCAAAAAAAAAAAAAATACTATTTCTATAAATTCTATTTTATGTTAACATTTAAAACATTAGTAGATATTGCCAATTATGATACACAAATGGAAAGCAATACGAATATTCTCTCATTCTCACTTAGACTGAATGTTAAATAATTGGCTGAGAAATGTATATTCTTGAGTCCTTCTCTTTAGCTAAAAATAATTATATAATGAAATAATTTTAAACAAGTCTGATTTCTGATGTTTATAGTATGTCTTTCTTTAAAAAAAAACGTGAAGGCTAAATTTGTTGTCTAATACTAACATAGGGGACATTGCATTGATGTCTTAGATATTTAGCTTTTTCCGAGGAAAAAGGGCATTTGAAAATATTAAACAGGTTCCAGTCTTACTTACGTGAATGATTGGTGTTTTGGAATATAGCCTGACTCTTTAGGGATTCTTTCTTCAGGCACAAGTATATTGCATTAAGTGTGCTGACAATTTTTATACTATCTTGTACTTTAGAATTGTTATAGCTAGACCTGGACACATACTTCTTACTGATTCTGAGTCTGTGCCATATTTATCAAATAAACAAGAAAACTGATGACATGTGACAGCAACAGGCTTGTCACCCTGCTTAGCTGTGTCTCTTGCCGTGGCCTCTAGGTGTTTAAAGTGGTGCTGTTCCACTCTATCCAAGACCAGATATGGTTTCACTCTGTCTTCTCTCTTCTTCACCATGACCTCACTGAAAGGGCATTTCGCTTGATGCTTTATGATGACTTCCTTACCAAAGGGGCTTGGATATTCAACTAAGCAAGACAGAAAATGCAACTTTGTATAGCAAGAGAAATCAGAATGCAGTTGTAAAACATGCTCTTGATTATATTCGAGAAGAATAACTTTTTTAAACATTTGAAAGGTACATGGTAGGTAGCATTTGCTGCTAATATCCTGTTGGATTTCGAGCAGTGTTTTATTGACTCTGTATGTGTGCGTCCATCTGTGTGTGCACAGATACGCGATTTTTCATTTGTGGACCTAGGAAGGAGGAGCTTGAAATCTTCTTTAAAAAATTCATCTCTGGGGAAGAGAGGTCGATTGTGAAAACATATATATGTGTGCAAAGCTGTACTGAAAAAATTCATTGGCCCAACCTCAGATCTGGCTTTTTTTTTTTTTAAAGACAGAGTCTTGGTCTGTCACCCAGGCTTGAGTGCAGTGGCATGATCTCAACTCACTGTTTGTCATCTTGGAGGCCCGGACTGTGGAGAGGACTATTCCACTTTTTAATTTTTTCTAACTTTTGAAAGATTAAATATACCTTCAATTCCTTGCTAATGGAATAAGTTTAAATTTGTAAGGTTAATAATTTTGCATTCATAATGATAAATTTTAATAGAGATTCTATGCAGTCTATGAATATGGAGGGTGGGAGAACTCTGTTCTGGTAGTCTTGCAGCTGTTAGTAACATACTACTGAGTTTTTTACTTGTCTTTCTTTTTCCCCCTTCAGTGACTGAAGCAAGGCTGTGTGACATTCCATGTTGGAGAAAAAAAGAAAAAAACCTGAATGCTCTAAGCTGGAACATAGGATCTATAGCCTTGTCTGTGGCCCAAGACCTTGGCCTTGTGTACAAAAATGACAAAATTTTGCAATAGCAACGCTGAACATCTAACACTAGCTATCTCCTGCTAGATTTCCTCGCTCAGCATATAACTATAAATACATGTAAGACTACATGTATATGGCTATATTTTTATTTGCTTGCTCCTAGAAGAGAAAAAAATCAACTTTGAATCACAACTAGGAATTGATGCTTTAATTTTTGGATACTTTTTCAGAATTTTTAATTTACTATGGTCCAGCCTAAGATCCTCTGTTGTATCAGGTTTTGTGCACAAAAGAAAAGCACAAAAGTTGAACGCACATGGGGCATGTGCTTTCTGTGCACCAAATATCTGGATGAGGTTCTTTTTTCAGGCCTACAGTCAAATCTGTGTCCAGAATTTTTTGACTTTTTTTGCTTTGTATAATCATAGAATCCATTGCTGCTGATTTCTATATTCATGTTATCACGTCTCTTAATAACTGAGGGCTGTCAATAACCTATGATTTTGCCTTCTCTATCATCTTACTCTCATGAAGAACCTCCCTTGGTTCTGATGGAGAAAGTGAAAAGCTTTATTTCTTCCCCCAGATATCTTTATATTTCTATTATATTTTTTAGTTGTGTACTGTGTGCTAGAGACTTTTTTCAGTTTGTTAACACAGTTTGGTAAGCCCTAAATTGGTTTTGCCTGTCTCCAAACAGAAACGTCTGTACAAATCTTGTTGGTATAGACTACTTTCTGGAAAATGGTCAAGATAAAATAAGCTCATGTTTTCTTGAAATTTCTAAGATAGTATATGGTATTACTCAAAGCAAATCAGACTGAGTTTGACATTTAATTCAGTACTTCTGGTATTCAGTAACGGGTATATATGTTCCATTTTGGGTCAGTTTAAAAGATACGTTGCAAAGTATACATAGAAAATGTGAGCAGTGCTTCTCTTTGCCTCTTGATCAGAAACTTCAGCAGAGCAGTAAGGATTCCTCATGACTCAAACTGAAATGCTTTTCTTTGTTGCTATAAGAACCTAAAATGTAAAATACCTTTTTCAGTTTAAGTCCGGTAAACAACATTGAAGCATGGAGTTGAGGCAAGGAATAGTACTCACTGAAGTTGAAATGACTGCCCACTTCAAAATCTTCATTGTGTTTACACACCAGTGTATTTATACAAATCAGAGGCATTTTGTAGATGCTTTGCTGACTTGTTATCTCTGTAAAAACACAGAAATCCAGACCCATTTTATAAAGCAGAAAGTCATGTCACATAGAACATGTCCTGTATATATCACATACATGGTAATGGAGTCTTAATGATAAGTGCAAGATAATAATTTAATGATGGGATTAGTCTGATCGCTTAATATGCACAATCCTGGAAGTGAATTACTTGCATCAGATGTGATATTTATTATTCTGTACAGAGAGAAAAATACATATAAAACATATGCTTACATTACATGCACGCAGATTTCACGCTTCATAATCTTTTCTATTTTTTAATTTACCTTTCTGTAAATGATGTGCATGGAATATGCCTTATAGAAAAATGCTGTTCATAATTTGACTATGTGGAAAAGTGCCTATATGGTGGTAATGCTAGTAAGGCAAATAAGACAAATTATCATATTGGTTTACTACATCACCAGTTAACATTTTCTATTGTGATGTTTAAAAAAGAAAAGTTTATACCTCAAATGTGTATTTTATTTTACAATCAGCTGTGGGGTATGGGGTTGGGATGGGAGAATGGGAGGGCTGGGGAGGGAAGATTTATTCACCATAGCCGCTGATAAGAATCTTCAAAAAAATTCTATATGCTCACTATAAATGTTTCTCTGTTTGCCATTTCTGGTAACTATCATGAACACAGACAGTTAACTCTTTCATAACTAAATTGGATAGCTTTATTTTACAGAAGTATGGAAAGTTTACAAAGCAATATCTAAATCTAATTATCATTAGTTGCATTTGGACTAAATGTGATGATATACTTTTGCAACTGATTCTGTACATAAAATGATTACATTAAAATATTTGTATTAAAAGAAGAAAAGATACATTTTACCTTTAGATAACCACACTTGTACTTCACTAGAGTTAATCCCACCCAATCAGATGGAGAAGTAAATTGGGGAATATGGAAAGATTACAAAAGAGGTCGGAATTTGGAGAGGTACTGGCCTTCTGGACAACATTCAGACCCTCTAGAATTATTAAGCTATTTCCTACATATTGAATTTAATGTTTTCTCATCTACAGATTTTGTCTTCCCCAAAATGAAAAAACTACCGTTGACTCTCTTTTCTACTCAGTTACTCTTTTGTGCTATGTTAGAAACTTGAAATACATTGGTGATGTGGGGTTTTGTCCCTGACTGCCCACTGTACAGGACAAGAGAGCACAGTGTTTCCGTTGCAATCCAGGACTCCTGGTTTTGAGGTAGAGCATGATCACTGCAGTACTTCGTTTGGTATTGCCACAGGGGCAGCTAAACCAAGGGGAAGTTATATCTGCAAGGGAGATATAAGAAGGCAAAGTATGGAAAAGGAGGAATGGGTTTTCTCTTTGTTCAGTTTCATCAACTAATTTGTACACCTAGTACAACATCAGTGTCACTTGCTATTAAGAAATCTTTAGTTGGGCTGAGCTGGTTCTCTTGTGAAATTGTGCTGGTTATCTTTAAGCTTATCAGTTATTTGTCCAATTAAACACTTTTCACCAGTATTTAGTCTGAGTTGTATAGACGATGTATTTGGATTTTGTCATGGTTCATCTACAGACTCAAAACATAATCATTTTAAAGTACCTTGGGAGTGTGTAGAGTAACTTCTATAATAGCTTTATGATCCTGATGATGTTTTTTAAACATAATAAAGTTGGATCTTCCATGTTACAATCACAAAATTAAAACCAGTATTTAAAGTGGAAAAGTATTAAAATATTATGGACAAATGTGCTTGCTTGGTTTGTTTTCCTTAACCCTGAGATGTTGCCCTACTCTTGAGTAGTTAAGAGCTTGAAATTCAGTGTTCTTCCTGTAACCCAGTTAGGGATCAAGAAAACTACTGAGTTGCAGCCATTTTTTTTTTTTTTAAGAGTCTTGCCCTGTCACCCAGGCCAGAGTGTAGTGACATGATCTCAGTTCACTGCAGCCTCTGCCTCCCAAGTTCAAGCGATTCTCGTGCCTCAGCGTCCTGAGTGGCTGGGATTACAGGAACGAGGCACTACGCCCAGCTAATTTTTGTATTTTTAGTAGAGATGGGGTTTCGCCCATGTTGGCCAGGCTGGTGTCGAACTCCTGACCTCAGATGATCCACCCGCCTGGCCTGCCAAAGTGCTGGGATTACAGGCATGAGCCACCGTGCCTGGCCCAGTTTTTTTTTTTTTTTTTAACAAAATATAATAGGATGGAATACATCAAGTACATGGCATGTAATACATACTTTGTATATCTTTTTGTCATATGTATTATACACGTGTGTAGTGGGTTATATTTTACAATGAATTTTTTACTGTGGATCGTGTCCAAAAGTTTTAAAAGATTGCTAGAAAATGAAGCCATATTCACTCGGGTGTGAATAAATGGAAGCACAGTGCTGGTGAATGATACATACTGATTTTGTAATTGAGCTGTATGCACTTAACCATAAATAAATAATCTCATTTATTTAAATCTCATTTAAATCATCTCAGCTCCACTTGTTGCACTCAGGGATTGAAATGGGAAGCATGGACGTGCAGTTCACTGAATCAGTGGATTCTTATTGAAAGTCACTGAGCATATTTCTTTCCTAGTGTTCAAAGATACACGTCATCCAAACAATATGATCTGTAAACAAAAGCCAACTGCTTAATCTGGTGGGATGCTGGAGGGAAAATCTGACTTGTGTTGAATTTGTTGAGAGATAAATATGTGGTCCTCATTCCTAGAGGAATTTTCTAGGGAAGTTTTAACTGCAGTTTTTGTTTTAGGCTTGACTTTGGAATATAACCACAAATAAGCTGTAGTTCTAACTAGCAATTTCAAGTGGGGTTGCTTTTATAGGATCTTCCAGATTTTCTTGCCATTATTTGAACTTGGTTACAACAGAGTTCTTACTATCATTTACATCGTCTACCTATTAAAACACATTTTCTATGAACCTTCCACATCTGTATACTTTGAACAGCCTTGCACAAATATAAGTGAAGCTACTTGATTTGGCCTCTCCATTCTCTCCCTAGAATTCTGTGAGATTAGTACTAGAACAAATAAAGATCTCTGAAGTTATTAGAAGATGCCGAACTGGGATTTTCCTGTCACGCAGGCTCTATGGGTGATGAGGTGTTGTATGAGGGTATCTTTGTTCTTTCTGTATCAGCCACTATGCCTGCTTTTTCGGACTCCTCCCCACTCAACAGTCGTGGGAGGTGATAGTGGTGGTTGTTGGTACCACCTGTTTTACAGATGAGGGAAGAGGTTGGGCTTCCAAACCTACTGATTGACTCCTGTTTGATTTTTTCCCATTAGACTCTACTTTTTAATGCCTGTGTCTAATATCTAGAATAGTGTTTGATGGACTAGAAAGAGCCAACATGCTTGAAGACTAGCAGTTTTGGTGTATGGGTCTTATTCTCACACTTCAATATTGGCTTCATGCAATTCCAAATACAGATAGTCCCTTAATGATGGTTTGATTTATGATCCTTCGACTTTATGCAAAGCACTACAAATTCAGTACACTCCAATTTAGCATGGCACTATGTTCCGATAAACCAGTCATAAATGGAAAATACTGTGAGTCAAAGGTACATTTTCAGCCGGGGGCAGTGGCTCACACCTGTAATTCCAGCACTTTGGAAGTCCGAGTTGGGTGGATCACCTGAGATCAGGAGTTGGAGACCAGCCTGTCCAACATGGTGAAACCCGTCTGTGCTAAAAATACAAAAGTTAGCTGGGCGTGGTGGCATGCACCTGTAATCCCAGCTTCTTGGGAGCCTGAGACAGGCGAATTGCTTTTGAACCTAGGAGGCAAAAGCTGCAATGAGCTGAGATCATGCCACTGCACTCCAGCCTGGATGACAGAGCAAGACCCCATCTCAAAAAAAAAAAAACGTTTTCAACTTAACGGTATTTTCAACTTGCAGTGGGCTGATCAGTACATAACCAGATCATAAATCAAGGGGCTTCTGTTGAAAGGGCCTTATTATTTAATTTTCAACTTACAGTGGGGGCCCATCAGTATGTAGCCCCATCATTAGTCAAGGGGCTTTTGTAACAAAGTGTCTTATAAAACCCACCAGATACAGAAGGGAGGTCAGTAAAGATGAAATTTGATCACCAGTTGGTGCTTGAATGTTCCTGTCCTCCAGTTCAGAGGATGATACAGGGAACTGAGTCACAAAACACCACTACAAACAAGTCCAAGGATTTTATCCCAGAATTTCAACCCAAGGATGAGCTACAATATAACTATCACTGTTTTGTTGGCTACCTGCCACAGAAGGACCACTGAGGAAATAAAGCAAGCTTTGGATTCACTCCAACTCAGTTTACTGTGGTTCTTTTCTGTATTAATGTTGTTAGGGTTGTGAGGCTTAAATGGTAACTGGGTCCAGCAGCAGGGAATCTGTGTGCAGCAGCTAAATCAAGGTGTAGCCAGTGTCCAAAACACTTTAGCAATTTGGATATCGGTAATTCCCCAGCACCCTAAAACAGTTCCCAGAGCAAGTATTTATTGAACACCTACTACATGCCATGAAGGATTGGAGTTACAGCCATGACCAGCATATAGCCAAGCTTTTAAGAAATGTATCCAAAGTTAAAGGAAATAGGCTGGGCCGGGCGCGGTGGCTCATGCCTGTAATCCCAGCACTTTGGGAGGCTGAGGTGGGGGAATCACAAGGTCAGGAGTTCAAGACCAGCCTGGCCAACATGGTGAAACACCATCTCTACTAAAAATACAAAAATTAATGGTGTGGTGGCAGGTGCCTGTAATCCCAGCTACTTGAGAGGCTGAATCAGAAGAATCACTTGAACCTGGCAGGCAGAGGTTGCAGTGAGCTGCGAACGCACCATTGCACTCCAGCCTGGGCGACAGTGCAAGACTGTTTCAGAGAAAAAAGGAAGTACGCTTTGAGATCAGAAGCATTTGAATAAGGTACATTGAACAATGGACTTAGCCACGTTTGAGATGTACAGAAGTCTTTTAATTCTTGATTCTCAGGTCTCAGAAGGTAGAAAGGAAAAGGGTTGTTGCTGTGTTTTAACAACCTCCGCGTACATTGATAGCACTACATTAATGGTATTCATTTTAATTTAAAACTATAATTTTTAGCCTGTGACTGACTTCATTCCTAGCATCTGGTAGGTTTTTGTTGTTATTGTTATTTCTAAATAAATTTCCAAGTTCCAGGGTACCATGTATTCCACTTACTGAGAAAGAATGAGACTTAGAAGCCAGAAGACTAAAGCTGTCTCACTTGAACAGCTTTGATCTTGGGCAAATCGTTTTAATGTGTCTAAGTCTATTGTAATCTTCTATAAAATAATACAAAGCCACCTACTATGGATACATCACAGGATTCTTTGGGGAAGAGCAAGAGCATGTATTTTCGTGCTTTAAAAACTTGAAAGCGCTATGTAAATATAAAGAAACATTACAAATACGTGCTAGGTGCTGAGTCTGGAATGGTAGAGATAGGAAGGTGAGCAAGATACAAGAATAATGACAAATTGCAAACATTTGGGGGCTTTGAGCAGAACCGTAAGTTACTTGGCAAGGGAGCGGACTAGGAGAGATGATAGTTTTTAAAACTCAAGAAGTGGAAATAAAGGTTGTTTCTCAAACTAGCTGCCCAGTAGTCACTCTAATATTTATAAAATATTAGCTAAATAAGCGTTCAGAGCTGTAGAATCAGTGTAGAGATGAGACTCTCCTGTTTTATTTGCCTTTACTTCCTCCTTATATTCACTTCCGCCTGCCACTATCAAACTATCCATTTGCAGCTGCAGGACCAGCCCACACTGGACCTATTCTGTTGATAAAATTTCAAGTTACCTTTTAGGTATAACAGCCAAAAACTGCACTCATATAGCCCAAGTATGCACAATAGAAAAAGATTTTACATCTAACAACACCCAAAACAATTACTGCCCTCAGAACCTAGAAGACCAAGACTCTCAGAAGCAAGGGGTCCGTTTGCCTAGAAGATCTGGGGACCATGTCTCCCTCAACATACCGTAAGTGGTCAAATTTGAAGCCCTCCAGGCTCACCTTGCCAAGCCAACATTCCAGAGTCCTTTCCCTTTGCCCTTCGATCCTGTAAAATTTATCCCATACCCCAAATTTTGGAGATAAATTTGTGCCCAACTCAAAACGTGCTGGCCAGTTTTGCAATAAAGCCTTTCTTTTCTCTCAAGCCAGTGCCAGTTATTGGCTTCTGTGTATACTGGGCAGTGAACCCATTTGCTCGATAACACTATAGTACATCATGCCTCTTGCGAAATATGTTTCAACAGTGCCCTTATCTCCAAGAGTGAGTCCATACTCCTTGATTTCAGACTCACATCAAACACATCTTTGAGTAGTTTGGACTTTCCCCATCTGTCTTACCAGCCTGACTCTCCTTGGTCCTCTATACAGATAAATCGTCACAGCCAGGTAGATTTATCGTGTCACTGCAATCCATGCTTACCTTCAAAGGAAATGCTTGCTCTCCTCCTCTTAATAGCTAAAACCTACTTCGGGGTCCCAACTTCTGAACTTAATTATGTCAACCTCCCCAACTGTTCTTCGGTTCTATTGTATGTCCTTTTCCTTTGGATTATATAAGTACGATGACACTGCTTGTTGTGTTAGTCTGCAAGTTCTACTAATAAGCTAGGCTCTAGTTTATTAGCTCAACTGACCAGTAGAACACAGGACCCCACCTAAGGCCAGAGAGCAGTTTCAATAGAGTGTATGTTTGAGGTGG